TACAAATATACCTATCATTTTTGTAGCCTGTGATGTCTACTTTCTTTACAGTAGCATGTCCATTCTTTAAATGCCAACATGCTGAAAACAGATACTTAATTTTACTGGATGTCTCTACCAGAGCTTAGGTAATATTTTAAATAATAAAATATAGTTGCTCATATTATAGCACCATGAAGCCGTCTTATGCCAAAGAAATTCTTAATTTAAAATGCACTTTTTTCCCTTTTTTATATTTTATATTTTTTATATCTTTTTCATTTTTACACAATGTATGCATTTTCATCTTGGTTATAGACCCCATACAACTCCCGCCCCCCCCCCTTGTTTTGATCCTACTCCCTCCTCTCCCCCACATAATGTGTCTCTGATTTATAGTTGGTTGTTGATTTTGATTTTTACTTTATTATAATTAGTCTTTTTTCCTGGTCCCTTATTTAGGTTTTCTAAATTCCTGCTATGAGTGAGACCATCTGGTATTTTTCTTTTTCTTTCCAGCTTATTTTGCTGAGATCCCTTCCAGCTCCAACCATGTTGCTGCAAATTACATGAGTTTATCTTTTTTGATTGCTGAGTAATATTTCATTGTGTATATGTACCACATCTTCTTGATCCAGTCATCTATTTGGGGGCATTTGGGTGGCTTCCATAGCTTATAGTACTGCTATAAATATAGGGGTGCTGGTGCCCTTTTGAATTAATGTTTCTGTGTCCTTTGGTTAAATACCTAGGAGTGGAATTGCTGAATCATATGGATGCTCCATCTTTAGCAGGTTGAGGAATCTCCACAGCTTTCCATAGAGGTTGGAACAGTTTGCACTCCCACCAGTGATGCAGGAGATTTCCTTTTTCTCCACATCCTCGCCAACATTTGTTATTGCTAGTATTTTTTAACATGTGCCATTCTCACTGGTGTGAGATGGTATCTCATTGTAGTTTTGATTTGCATTTCCCTGATCACAAGTGATATTGAACATTTTTTCATATGCCTGCTGGCTTTTGCATTTCCTCTTTGGAGAAGTTTCTTTTTAGCTCTTCTGCCATTTTTTGACTGGAATATTTACTTTGTCTTTGTTGAGTCTCGTTAGCTCTTTGTGGATTTTTGTGATCAGTCCTTTATCATTAATGTTGCGTGCAAAAATTTTCTCCCAGTCGGTGGGGTGTCTCTTTGTTTTGGTTCCTGTTTCTTTTGCTGTACAGAAGCTCTTTAATTTGATGTAGTTCCAGCTGTATATCTTTGGCTTCACTATCACTGCTTTGGGTGATGTGTCTTTAAAGATGTTACTGAGGTGTATGGCATGTAGTATTTCACCTATATTTCCTTCTACATATTTTATGGTTTCAGGTCTTATGTCTAGTTCTTTAATCTATTTTGAGTTGGTTTTTGTACATGATGTAAGGTAGTAGTCAAGTTTCATTCTTTTGTATGTAGTGACCCAGTTTTCCCAGCACCATTTATTGAACAAACTTTCTTTGCTCCGTTGCATAGTCTTTGCTCCTTTGTCAGATTAGTTGACTGTAAATCTGTGGGTTTATTTCTGGATTTTCTATTCAGTTCCACTAGTCCGTGTGTCTGTTCTTGTTCCAATACCATACAGTTTTGATTATTATGGCTTTGTAGTATAGTTTGAAGTCTGGGAATGTGATACCTCCATTCCCTTTTTTTTTTTTTTTCAGGAGAGCTTTGGCTAGATAGGGTTTTTGGTGGCTCCATGTGAAATTCATCAATATTTATTCTATTTCTTTGAAGAATGTCATTATATTTTTATTGGAATGGCATTGAATCTGTAAATTGCTTTTGGTAGGATGCCCATTTTGATAATGTTAATTCTTCCAATCCATGAGCAGGGGATGTCTTTCCATTTCTTTGTGTCTTCTTCTGTTTCTTTTAACAGTGTTTTATAGTTTTCATTGCATAGTTCCTTTACATCTTTTGTTAGGTTTATTCCCAAATATTTGACTTTTTTTGTTTCAATAATAAAAGGGATGGTTTTCTTTATTTCTTCTTCTTCAGACTGATTGTTTGTGTATAGAAAGGCTACTGATTTTTGCGTGTTGATTTTGTATCCTGCTACTTTACTAAACTGATTGATTAGTTTGATTAGTTTTTCTATGGAGTTTTTGGAGTTCTCTACCTATATTATCATATCATCTGCATATAGTGATAGTCTAAGTTCTTCCTTCCCTGTTAGAATTCCTGTATGTCTTTCTTTTGTCTTATTGCTCTGGCTAGGACTTCCAGTATTATATTGAAAAGCAGTGCTGAGAGTGAACACATTGTCTTGTTCCAGATCTTAATGGAAATGCTTTAAACTTCTCACCATTGAGAATGATACTGGCTGTTGGCTTGTCATATATGGCCTTTATGATGTTGAGGTTTGTTCCTTGTATCCTGAGAATTTCAAGGGCCTTTATCATAAATGGGTGTTGTACTTTGTTGAAAGCTTTCTCAGCATCTATTGATACTATCATATGGTTTTTATATTTCTTTTTGTTGATGTTGGATTACATTGATTGATTTTCGGATGTTGAATCATCCTTGTGTCCCTGAAATAAATCCTACTTGGTCGTGGTGAATTATCTTATGGATAAATTGTCGGATTCTGATAGCTAAAATTTTATTGAGAATTTTTGCATCAGTATTCATTAGAGAGATTAGCCTGTAGTTTTCTTTTTTTGTGTTGTCTTTGTTTGGTTTTAGTATTAGTGGAATGTTGGCTTCATAGAACGTGTTTGGTATTATGCCTTCCTTGTCAATTTTTTGAAAGAGTTTATAAAGGATAGGCACTAGTTCATTTTTGAATGTTTGGTAAAATTCATTTGTAAATCCATCTGGTCCTGGGCTTTTGTTTTGGGGTGGGTTTTGCTTACCATTTCAATTTCACTGCTCGTAATTGATCTGTTTAGGTGTTCTATTTCTTCTTTATCTAGCTTTGGGTGATTGTAAAGTTGTAGGAATTTGTCCATATCTTCCAGATTGTTGAACTTATTTTCATATAACTATTCATAGTATTTTCTGATTATTCTTTTGATTTCTGCTGTGTCTGTTATGGTTTCTCCTCTTTCATTTGTGATCTTATTTGTGCTTTCTCCCATTTTTCCTTTGTGAGCCTGGCTATGGGTTTAAAATGTACTTTTATTTAACTTTTATGTTGATGAAGTTTCAGAGAAACTTAACTTTAATAATTTTTAATTTTAGAAATACAAAGTACAATATTGGTAGGTGATTTATGAGAATCCCTGGAATTTGCTTCAAATAATATAGTGAGAGTTAGTGTAGATAGAGTCATGATGGAATAAGATTGGCTATGAGTTGGTGATTGTTGAAGCAGGGTGATGAGTACATGGGAATCCATTATTCTTCTACTTGTGTCTATATTTGATATTTTTGCTAATGAAAACATAAATTTTATATCATATGATTTGGAATATCTCACTGTACATTTATCAACCTCCATAAAAATCAGTATTACTCAAAGTGTTAAAAACAGGGCCCATCTCTCCTACCAACTGGTTTTCTCTCAGCTTCCCTATTCAAACTAACTGGATGGTACAATATCTCAGTCACCCAAGATGTAACCTCTATATCAGTTATTATTTGAATTCAGTTTATTCTGCTTAACTAGGTATTCACTGACTTTACCTCCAGTCTTATTTCCAGCTCTCATGATCTATCTTTTGGCAATAATAAATACTTATAGAATGAATGAATGAGGGAATTTATGACTACTTCCCCCTGTTGCCATTTTTATACAGTTTTGCCATTGGTTTTTCGTTGTCCATGTCACCTCACTTGATTTTAAGTTTTATGGAGGCTGAAACCAGATCTAGTTCACTGTTGTAGCCCCAACAACAGTGAAGTGTCTGTCATAAATTAAGCCTTCAATAAATATTTATGGAAAGAATGTATTAATTAATCTGTCTTCTTGAGTAGTCCCCATCACTGCTGTCTCCATTTCAACTAGTTCATCCTCCATGTAGTTTCTGGAGGGATTGCACTAGACAATAAATGTGATCGTATTTCACCCATTGATTGTTTTCTGCCATCTGGGTAAGCTTCCAGATATTTACATATGAAGTATGTGGCCCCTGGTCTTGTAGGTCCTTCCAGCTGCTCACTCTCCTGCCTCATCTCTATGCTTCATCACTCCACAATGTACTTATACTATGTACATGTTACATGACCTTGACCTCCTTATTCAGAATATTTTATCTCTCTGGGAATGTCATCTCATCCACATTTTATACATAGCACCACTCAGTCACCTTCCTCCACCTGGATAAGGGGGTAGTGGGCAGAGGTGGTCACTGTCGCCTCACATTAAGAATGGAGAAGTCACAGCAAACGCCTGTGCTATCAACATACTTCCTCCCTCTCAACTGTTGACAACCATTTGGTTATTATTTTCACTGACAGTGACTGTCCCCCCAGCTGCGATTACTTTTCATTTTCCTAGCATCCTCACTACTTTACCTAGCAAGTAGAGGAACCCAATAAATATTTGCAGAATGAGTAAATTAAGGAATGTGTTTTCTTTGCTAAATAAGTAATGAGTTTTCCGTAAAAGATGTTAAATCAATGATATACTTACCAGCATACCCAGAAATTGTTTGTCATATTTGTGCCAGGTTTTCCTCTTTCCACAGTGAGTCAAAAGACAAACCTCCGAATCATATAATTCTAAGAATGAAATGCTTGAGAGACAAAAAATTCTTGATGTGAACCAACAGGTCAAGGAAATGCACTGATGGGTTTTTCAGAAGGTTAAGATTTATTTAGTAATAGGAGTAATTCTGATAATTTTAATGAAGTTTTGGGTTAGTATCAGTAGAGATTTTTTTCTGACAGATATCACAAAATTTTAACATAACTGCTTTTATGTACATGAGCCAGAGTACAAAAATAATAAAATATTGGAAAACTTGAAATATCCCTTGTTAATTGAAGCTTCTAGTTTAAGAAAGTCATAAAGTTTGAGTTTTTCCCTTTTCCATTGCAGATATGTCTTCTCCGACTACTATGAAGAAGCCTGAAAAGCCATTGTTCAGCTCTACATCTCCACAGGATTCTTCTCCAAGATTGAGCACTTTCCCCCAGCACCACCATCCCGGAATACCTGGAGTTGCACACAGTGGTGAGGAATTTCAGAAATAGAGAAGCCTCCCTCTTGTTTGCAGAGCCCATACCCAGTCACAATTGGATCAAATTTTTTTCTTAACAAAATATAACAAAAATTTTCAAAGCCATAAATAAATACCATCTATGTATATAATTTTAATTACCTTTATTGGAAAGATGATAATTACAAGAAATTAGAAAATATGGGCCACATAGTTATCTTAACAGGATTGGCCTAATTATATGTTTGAAAGATGGAATTCGAGTATGTTGCTGAGTGTAGAGTATTTCCAAAGATATTCCGATATGTAGATACTGTTTCCATAGATACTATTTTCTATTTAAAAAATTCAGTGTTTAACTACTTATTTGGGAATGAAATTGATCTGAAAAGTAAAATAGGTGTTTAGTTTGACAATTATTTTACTGGGTTGTTAGAAAGGTCATGATTCAATTTTGCTTGGAAATACAGAAAAAATACACCATGATTTTTCCAACAACCCAATATTTGCCTGAATCTTTCCCATGGACAAGTACTTAATAGTATATACTTGATATTAATAGATATATTGAATACTTGATATTATATAGTATCTTAATTTGGATAGGAAAAAATCCAATATTTGCTCTTTAAGGAATAACTAATATTAAATAATCTTCCACAAATTAAAGATAAGCTATAACAGTAAATCATATTGTATACTTTCTACCTGTTATTTTTAAGTCCTAGGGAGACTTAATTTTAGGTGGAGAAAATTTTATATAAATATGTTGATAGTGATACTTTCATTACTTTAAATTTATAGTTAGGCAATTCCTTATCCCTCTAACAAACTGAATCTGGTTTTTAAACCTTATTAAAGGGACATGCCATCTGTTAAAATGATGTCCTTATCTTTGGTCTGCAACTGTATGTTGATATGTATTGTCGCTATGCTTAAAAATGTGCATGACCTTTATTGCTATCATTAAGGAAATTATAAAGTTAAGAGGATACACAAATCAAATATAGAATAAGATTTTTACATTTATTGTACATGCTGCAAAGATAGCCAAAAAATCAGTTTATGCATACATTTGTAATGTTGACTACTTAGGCTAAATTAGCTTGAAAATCAGATCATTCATTTCTTATGATACCTGATTAAAATATTCATACTGCTAACATTTGGGAAAAATTAAACAGTATATTTTAAACAATAAAACGTGATAGACCTACATAAGCCTTCTGCCTTGGTCCTTCACCAGATATTTGTTCAGTGTGTATTGTGTTAGGCTCTGTTGTGCCTACATTGATTATGAGTGATAGTTTCTGTCCTTAAAGAGCTCGTAGTATAGTGGGGAGCCAGGGGACTACTCATCAACTAGGCACTTTACCTGGCTACTTGGAGGAAGATTAGATGCCTGGAGGAGGTGTGTTCTAAACTAAAATTTGATGGTTGAATACACCACAAGAAGGAAAACAGGCCAGGAAGAAGGGTGTTTCCAGCAGAACAAACAGCATGTATAAATGCAGTGGCAGTTAGGCAGCAAGGAACTGCCACAGGTGTACATCCAAAGAGCCACATATCTTTCATGTGGCCAGAGAATAGCCTGCCAGGAGGGAGTGACCAGAGATGAGGCTAAAGATGTGGTATAGTACTGGGTCCTGATATACTTAAAGAATATCTATACCTCTGTAGTTGTTGGGATTTTATTCTGGAACCCAAGATGGAGCTCTGTATTTCCAGGGTTAGTGTACAGATGTGAGTGAAGCTCATGTTAAATTGAGCTGAGATTGAGAGCTCTTGAAAACTAGATAAAGGGCCTCCCTGGTGGCATAAGGGGTTAAGCGCCATACTATGAAGCAATCTGCAACCTCTGCAGCAGGAGTTCGATTCTCCCAGCCAGGGAGCAACCCACATGGAGCAGCAGACCTCTCCTGTCTCGCCCGCTGCTCCTCTCAGCAGTGTATTTTACCCAGTCTGCCTGTTCTGCTCCCCACTCTCTCTGGTGAATCCTCTCACCTCCACATTTCTGGCCTGTACCCCAGCTCTTGAATGCATAAATAAATTAATCTTTAAAAAAAATAAAAGAAAACTAGATAAAAAGATGCTCTATTTAATGTAGGTGTTTGTATTCCCTTAAGTTATACGTTCAAGTGTATTTCTTAAATAAAAGTCATATTTCAATAATGGGTTGTTTTAAGAAATACATAATTGTTTTGTGAAACATCCCATTGATAGAGTATGCTCAATGTGAGTATGAAGAAAGATTACATGAGGCACTTGTTTAAAATCCAGGGTCTGGTGCCTTACCCCTTGTAGGTCCTCATCCAGTAGGTCTGTGGTTAGGCTCAGCAATCTGCATTATAACAATCCAGAGGATTCTGAGTACTCTGGACACTCCGGAGTAAAGTTGTGACCTAAAAATGAAATTTGTGATCCTTTTATATACAATCTTAATTTCTTGTATCCTCTGGAAAAGCTTTCTTGGAGGAAGATAAGCAACATCCCTTTAAAAGTTTTCTATTTTATTCACACAATTACAAAGTTGGAGCTAAAGTCATTCCAGATGATTTTCATTTATAGGTCATGGAAAGAATTTATTTTTTCATATTATTTGCTAAGTTGTCTCATAAAGCATAAAACATTTATCATTTGTAATTTCCTATGATTTGGATCAAATAATAAATAGAAACAGACATTTTGTCCTTACTTCTGCATATACTAATTGGTACTCTAAATTTGTAGTTATGCGATTGTTTCCCTCAACTTCATAGTGATAATGATCATGGAATGATACTTACCCCATTTTTCAAACTTAAGAATTACATTTCAAAAGCCAAACAATAAGTTGTGGCCATACCAGTGTTGAAAAGTTACAGTACAATTAAACATTGTACACATTGCATATGTTTTGTATATTTTTTCTTTTTATAACATGAGATTTATAGGTAAACTGCTATGCCTATATGAAAGTTTAAATACACATTCCTACAGGTTTTATTCTGTCTTAATAATATTTTTTAAATCTACATGTAGTAAAAGTTAGACTAGGAAGAAAGATAGTTACAAGACTTTATTACAAAGGAACATTTTCATTTTAAAAAAAAAAGAGTTCCAGTGTCCTCTGTTCAAATGCTTGTAAGCATTTGTACAATAGCCAGGTAATTACTTAGGACATAATTGCCTACTAGTTATTAACTTCCCTTCTAACCGATCGTCAAGTAAAATATACAGGGAAAATATTTATTTAAAATTGGATTATACTTCTGTTTTGAGTTTTGATAGAAACTTTGAGAGTCTGCTGCCCTCTAATTAATGCTGTGACTTGTTTTGTACTTAAAAAACAAAAATTTTCTGATTAAAGAATGTGTTCTGATGGCAAATAACTTTGCTTAGAAAAATGTTTAGTCAATTATTGACTTAACCTATAAAGATAAACTTTTTTTTTTTAAGATTTATTTATTTATACAACCACTGAGTACAGTCAGAAGTGCGGGAGGGTGAGAGGATTCACCAGAGCCAGAGCAGGGAGCAGAACAGGCAGACTGATGAAGTACACTGCTGAGGGGAGCAGCGGGTGTGGCAGGAGAGGTCTGCGTGCCATGTGGGACCCTTGCCGTCTGCCGAGGATTGAGCTGGCTCTGCAGAGGCTGGGGGCAGCTTCACAGCCCTGCGCTCAACCACTCCGCCACTGGGGAAGCCCTAAAGATAATTTTTTTAATCATCCCTAGAGCTAGAAAACAAAATAGTTGGTTCCCTAAAATAGAGATTGTGTCTATGTGCTTAGCCATAGTGCTGTTGAGTATGAATTGTGTAAAGAGGGTGTGGTTAAATCATGGGGAGAAAGCTAAGAGATACTGATTTAAAGTTTCACAGTGTTCTTAGGATTGGAACAGAGTAGTGAGGAAAACCACTGACGAGTCAATCTTTCCTTTTCTATCTCCTGCAGTCATCTCAACTCGAACTCCACCTCCACCCTCACCGTTGCCATTTCCAACACAAGCTATTCTTCCTCCAGCCCCATCGAGCTACTTTTCTCATCCAACAATCAGATATCCTCCCCATCTGAATCCTCAGGATACTCTGAAGAACTATGTACCTTCTTATGACCCATCCAGTCCGCAAACCAGCCAGGTAAAAAATGAGAGCGAAAATAAGCTTAGAGTGTAAGGGAAAGTGAACGGGTCTAACTATAAGACCTGAAACTTAGACAGTATGTCTGGCAGAACATCAGCCTTGTGAAATTCATCTCCAGGAAGTTTCTTGGTGACTCAGTAAGTTTTTATTTAAAGGTGGCTGAATGACAGGTAGGAAGTGTGTTGCCCCAAAGGGGCACATTTGTGAAGATATTTTTGGTTTGATGTTTTTGGATTTTCATTGACTGAAGAGAAAGTTTATGCAGAAATTACATTGACAAAAAACTCTGAGCTGGAGTTCACACCTCTGAGATACCTGGTTTGACACAGATACAAAGTGCTTATTTCAGGCAGGAACATGGTATGAGCTAAAATAAACACACAAAAAAGAACTTACAGTTGTATGTATAGACCAACTATTAGGTATAAAATAAGCTTTGGTAATGTAAACATTTTCAGTGTTTGATGACTACTTGAATATTCTTTGCACAGACCTGACTACATCAACAATGAGTGACATTACCAGAAGTGCTTTTTTTTTTTTTTTTTTTTTTTTGTGCAGTGGTTTTAGGGATTCATTGTGTAAGTGTAGTGACTCATGTGTCTTTCTTACTCCCCAAACATGTGGTTTCTTCTCGCTCTCTAAACTTTATAGCAATTTGGAATAAGAGGATTTGCCACAATCAAGCAGAGAGTTTTATCAGTGTCTAGACCCTTCCAAAGCTGAATCTGTCAATCATCATATCCAAAATGTCATTTGGATCTGGTCTGGTATTTGGCTCTGCTGCTTTACCGCCATGGTTTCTGTCCATTCCTTCTTTTATACTTTTAATGCTCTGAAGGATTTTCATAAACATTCTGTCATTAGTGCCATTCAATAACTAAAATGCCAGTGAGTGTATGGACATACCAATTTAGAATTTACCAAGAAAGATGTGAAAAACAAATTCCCTTGGTCTTAATTTAATTGTTAAAATGAAGCAAAATGGTCCTCTCTGAATGTTTTGTTTTGAATAACAACATACCCAGCACCATTGAGGTTACTCAAAAGTCACCTATACTTTCAGATCTAGTGACTAATAAGGTTAAACTAAAGACACTATTCTTGATTCTTGAATTTGAAGTTAAACTATTTGTATTTTACAAGAAAACATTCAAACGGTGTAGTACTTTTAATGACCTATAACAATAATCAGTTTTTACTGGTATCAGTCTAGAAATAAAATTTGCTGTCAGAGCATGGATTCAAAAGTCTCAGTTCCATAGAGCATTTTGCTAGACTCAGCTGGGAACAGTGCGCACAAGGTCTGATTTTAATTTGTGTAGAATTTCCATGAATAACAAAGTCTAATTAAGACATCCATTAAAAGTCCTTAACGTTAATTCAGTGTGGAAAATCTTAGAGTTCCATTGGATTTTTTTTTTTTAACTGATGTCTTAATTAGGCACTGTTAGGGGAAAAATTATGCAAATTAAAATCAGGCCCTTAGAGTTACGCATTTCTTTAATTATTCAGTGCTTGTTTTACGTATATTTCAATTTCTTTATAAGTTAAGGGAGCATATTAGGTGCTAATCTGCCTATATTGTTCTCAGTTTTTCTTCATATTTTCAAGGTAAAGATCTAGAGCCTAAGAGAAGCTTCTTATTCTCATCTCAATTAAAACAAAAAGAATCCCTCTCAGGATTTGGTATAATAGCAGCAGTGTAGTAAGTAGGATAATCCTTTCCTAATACTGTTCAACTTCATCTTCAGATAAGAGGTCTTTCTTTTCAGATCATCAGCATGAAAGTTTATCTATTAACATCCATAAAAGATAGAAGCTTTACAGTGTAGCTTCGACTATTTGAACTAGTAGAAAACCGAAAAGAAATAACCTTCCATTCTTCTGGCCCTAGTTTCAGAGAAGTTATCTGTATTGGCTTGGGAAGTCTTTCTTTCTCATTTTTACCAATTTTAAATGAGAGAAATGTCCATTGGTTCATGTCGATTCAGTCCTTGTAGACAAAGCCATAGAACAGGTGAGGTTAGCATTGTCTTTTTTGACACTCTTCCCTTCCATGCTCTCAAGCAGGTACTGTCAATCTGTTTTGGTGACCTTGGTATGCAGACATGCTTTTTAACATCAAATGTGCCACCAACGATAAAATGAGGTGGTTTTTTTTTTGAGTTAAGATATATAAATCAGTCTTTTGCAATGTTCGAATAACCGGAGGGTGACGGTCTGCCTTAGAAACAAACTACTCTTTCCCCTTGAAAGAAAAAATGGGTCTTTACAGAGAAAGCTGCGGAGTTATTTTGTAGAATTATTACATCCTCTTTGATGTTTAACTCAAAACTAATTAATTTGCATTTCAAAATAAGATGCTTGATATTCAGCTTTTTAATTCTAACAATGGGGGGAAAAGAGAGTTCTCATTCACCTGTAGTCAATTTTCCTTCCCAATATCCTCCAGCTCTGCACCAATTTTGATTGTTAAGTCAAGCAACTGAGATGCCTCATCCTCCCCACAGCAATTTGGAGATTAATTGCATTGCTGCTACACCGATTAGAATGAGACAGTCATGCTATTCAATGGAATATTTTAAATAAAATTAGTTTAAAGGTATAACTCTCTCATAGGTTTCCATAGGGGGGAAATTCTGGTCAATTTTCCTGACATGAAGTTAAATACTTAAAATTACTCATGATGAATGGTCAGGATATTCAAGAAGTCCATTTTCTTTTTAAATAAATAATGTGGCTTCTGAGGAACTTCAGATGTTGAAGTTACAGTATTTACTTGTTGTTAGCTGTTCTTTTTTCCTTTAAGGAATGTCTACTTTAAATTTATATGTAGTTACTTAGATACATATTCTGCTTCATAGCTTTTTTTTTTTTTTTTTTTTTTTTTTTGCTGTTAACAGTGCAGATTATAAAGACCAAATATCTGTGGAGAATATCCTGCTAGCAAATTGTTGTGTACACTATGCAGTGGAGAATTCCAACATGAATGTCATAAAAAATAGCATTCTTTGACTAGAAAAATACATTTTAGATTCTGCAAACAGCATACCCTTAGGATTTCATCTCCTACCACAGATACTATTTTTGTACCTGGGGCTAAAAACTCAGATAATAATATCTTTTCTATCATTACCCAGGGGATTTTCTCAGTTAGTTCCCACAAATGTCAACAATAAATGTTTTGTGTAACTCTCCACACCCAACAATGGAAGAGTAACTCAAATAACAAAAGCATATTTGATTGCTCTCTGTTTCACTTCAGCACATTTTAATTTACTTTGGAACTCTTTTCTTTATAGATGTTAGAGCAGACCTAGTTCAGCATTTTATATCATTGTGTGGATCTGAAACTTTAGATACTCTATATCTCATTCTGTTTGCATTAGTATATCATCAAAAGTTGAGTGGAGAGCCTAGAATATAAACTGTTGGATGTGAGTATCTGAGCATAACTGTGTGAGTGAGAACCAGCATTTCTGTCTGCAGAAGAACGAGCTTGACTGTAAATGATGGAAATTATAAAGTTTGATGTGTTTGATCTCCTAGATAATCTTGTCTTCCTGTGTCAGTGATATCATCATTTAGGTGAAAACTGTGTTCTGAAAGCCAAAACTGACTCATTGTAGAAAATGAAGAGTGGAGAAGGAAGCACTGGTTGTTAATTCTCACTAGTTCAGTAAGGACTTCCATTTTAGCATTGGGCTGAGTATTTAAGTCTACACTTGAGTTGTCTGGCTTACTAAAAAAAAAAGATCTATTCTACCTGGCTTTCAGGGATGTTGTGAAAAAAGAATTAACCTATATAAAGTGCTTTAAAGATGAAGACTTTCTTTTAATTGCTGCTGCTTCTTATTACTACTAACCATCGGTTGACCTCTCTGACTCAGCCTTGAGAGGGCTCAGGTGGCAGTTCTACATCGTGCAGGGTCCACTAGCCTGAGCGTGCAGCGTGGAGTTGTTGGACAAGATGACTGCCTTTTGGATTGTTTCACCCGGCATTCTGTTTTTGTTTTGTAGCCTAACAGCAGTGGTCAAGTAGTAGGGAAAGTGCCTGGCCATTTCACGCCTGTCTTGGCACCCTCTCCCCATCCCAGTGCAGTGCGACCTGTGACCCTGACCATGACAGATACTAAACCCATCACTACATCCACTGAAGGTGAGGCAGCTTCACCTACAGCAACCAGTAAGTATTTCTGTAGGAAATGAGAAATGTCCATCAGAGGCACCATTGGATATCTGATCCAAGGTGGAAAACACGGCAACTTTTCCAGCTACCCAACCAGATGGAGATTTCTCATTTATGTAGAACAAGCAGGCATGTGTGTAGCATGATTTTCACACGCTCTCTGTTATCAAATATCAGTCAATGCAGCATATTTGAAAAGAGAGAAGCGGATTTATTTGAATAAACAGTTATAACAAAAATGAGCCATGCCTGCTTGCTCAAGGTATACATCGAAAATGCTCTGAATAACTTAAAAAGGTTTTTATATCACCCAAGAGAGATTAGATAATTGTTACTTATTGGAGCATTCCTATAGAAATCAAGCCCCTATACAAGGCAGAATGAATCAGTGCCTCTAAGATAATTGCATGTTTACATTACTCTAGGTTGTCATTGTGAGAAACAGTCACACATTGTTAAGTATAGATGAGAACATTTCAAAGTTTAGTTCTTAGGTACATGTAAGCTACCCGTACTTTCATTGTCTGCAACTGTAATTTTTTTTTTTTATGATTTTGCCTATCCTGGTACATCAGGCACTGTGCTTTTTAGCATGTCCATAATATTTTATATGTCAGAGATGTAGCCAGTTAACTTACATACCACATGCCAATAACCCAGATGATTCTTTTCTTCTTCACATAAGATGCTCATAAGTGTGCAAGGGATTAATTTTTAACTGGCTTCATCCAGACTATTGGCTTCCCAAATCTGAAGCAGTGTGCACATATTGGTAAGGTGGAAAGAGTAACGTTCCAGCCAACAGGGATTAGCATGTTTCTTATCAGTTATACACATATCTTAAATATAGACCTTCTGCCTTCCCTAAGGCAAGAAAATCCCCATGTTCTGGAAATTCCTATGTGGAATAACAGACAATTGGAAGCACCACTGGCTCTTTCTTTCTCAGTAATTGGGAAGATGTTTGCTTTTTTTTTTTTTTTTCTTTTTGGTGTGTGTGTGGCTTCTAAAAGACTAGGAAGGAAACCTGTAAGAAAAATGGACAACTTTGTACAATGAATTCAACATTTCTTTCTCAAGATTCATGAAGCCCCATAGACTAATAAATCCATATAGGCTTGAAATTCCCATCAATAATCATTAACACTTAGAAATGGCTTGTTGGTAGAGGGTTCTACACGAGCGAACACTTCCCTGAATGCCCATATGGATGAGATCTGCATCAGGAAGACGAATAATTCATTTGTTCCAAAGGTTAGCTAGGTACATTACAGCCACTAAAACACCACATGTATTGGCTTCTTTGAGCAAACACAGAGTCAATCATTTAGCAAATAAATAGAAAACATTTTTGTAAAAAGTCAAAAGACTATTTACAGGTAAATAATCAGAGACAAATTTCAGAAACTTCTGATACCTATTCTGAGTGACATTGAGAAATGAGATACAAGGAGAGATCAGAGCTAAATGGTCACATCTCACTTACAGGAGTACTATTGGTCTGTTAATAAATTGTTTTTATACTCACATACAGATTGACCAAAAAAGAGATATGATTTGACTAGTAAAATCATAAAGTGGTCAAAAGAAATATCTGGATTGTACAAAAATGACGACATTATCCCATTTTCTAACCTCATAAAGAAATAAAGTGAGTCAGTTTTCTTTCCTCTAAACAAATTTCTAGCTCCAGCTCCCAAGCATCACAAATAATAAGAAATTAGTCATTGAATGGATAAGTGAATAAAATTAAGGAAAATCCAAAGACTAAGAAAATCTTTTTCTCATGGATGAAAAGAAAGAGTAGGATTGAGGTGGTGCCCTCTCTGTGCAGATGAACCTCCTCTTCTGCACCCACTTAGATGTGCTTCATTCCGGAGATTGAGAAAGGGCTGCTGGCTGCTTATGGCTCGTTTTACATGGGCTCTTTATTCAGGAATAATTAAAAGAGGAATTGTCAGAATCTTCAATATTTTTAAAAGCGGACCTAACAAAGCCTGAATGAATGTAATTCTGTGGCCCTTCAGATGAACATGGCAGAATTTAAGTACTAATTTTTAAGAAGTCTTTTAAAAATTAATTTCTGAATTCCTCATTAATCTGATAACTTAAGACAGACATTTTAACTTTCTTTACACGTGTAAATGTAATATGTTGAAAATTGAGTTCAGCTCATTGCAACATGGAACAATGAAATTGCTTAATACTGAGAAGATTCAGTAGTATTTTCCTTGTGAAAAGAAGCAAAAATCTTTAGGAACAGGGAGATCATCCTTTGGGAAAATTTACTCTGTACCAGAAAAACACTTGTGTAGAAAGTTACTTGCAAGGTGAGGCCATATTAACTTAAGTATTATTCACCATACACTTAAACTGCTAGGTGACCAAGTATTTAAAAGGTGTCATCAACTTTTAAATCACATTGAACATCAAGAAAGGTCTTCCTGGACCAATTATAAAAAAAAGACATTTTATGATTTTGGAAAATAAAGACTTTTTTCAAAAGCATCAATATCAAACTTAAGGTCACTAGTCACATTAAATAAAACACAGATCAAATTCATTCTGTACTGATATAATAAAAAAAAATAGGTTGTCCTTCATGTTAATAATATTAGAAAGACTTTTTGAATACGACATTTTTCATCCCATATCATCAGGCACATCTGTTTATTAAGTCCCATCATTAAAGGGACTTCACTTTTTCTTGACAGGCTTTCAGGCTGCTTTTACATTCAGAATCACAGACTGTCATTGATTATTCCATTACTGGACAATTAATATCAATACCTTTAAGAAAAGGCCCCTTCTAGGTAACAAGTCCGTGGTACTCCTGCGAATCTGGAACCAGAGCATGTGAGTGTGAGACATCCACATCAAAGCATGGGATAATGTGTTACTAGGTAGATTTTTGGGGAGGGGAACAACTAGTTGAATTGAGGCCAACTCATACTTCTTTTATATCACTTTAGTGTTCACTCATACAAAAAAGAAGAGAAATAGAGACACTTTTTTTTTTTTAGTTGCAAATCCCACTTCTCTGGGTTTCTTTTACATGGACAGGGTGTTCATTCTGATAGTTCACAATTTTTATCTTTGTTTTTGTTCTTCCTTAATCAGCCTACACAGCCTCAGGCACATCTCAAGCCAATCGATATGTGGGACTAAGCCCAAGAGACCCATCCTTCCTACATCAGCAACAGGTGGGCAAGTTTCCCCCAGGTGTGATGGTGTAGCCACGCTTTGCATTGGTGCTTTTCTCCATGCTGCCTCTCAGATCTGGACTCAGACCGGGGCTCACGGGGCTTCTGAGAAAGAAACTGATCGTTTCATTTTCCCAAATATTTTCTCATTTATCTTTTGTTTCTCTCCTCTCTGAATAGGGTTTCTTAAGTTGGCTCAAGACCTTTTCCATCTTTAGCATATATGGATAACATCCATGAATAACAGTGTTTCAGCCAAAGAGTATTTTCCTCAATCTTATAGGCTAGAATTTACTAGTCAGTTGCTTCCAAAGACAAAAATTGAAAACTGATTTAAAAGCCAATTAGAGTAGAAGCAGTACACAATTTGTGTTTTTGAGCTCTTTCATGCTTTCCAGATGTTTTACTCCTCATTTTGGTATTTTAGTCCAAAAAGATGAGTTATGAAGCTAAAATCTCAGGCGACACATCATTCCTATTTTAATAGGTTTAAATTGGTTTACTGATTTCAGATGTGATAAAACACTTTTTTTGTTCTTTTTTCTTACATCATTTATGTTTCAAGTAGCATTTTAAATTTCACATCTCATTAATGCTGTAAATTTAATGCAAATGAAGTGTTTACCCAAACTGTGAAAATATACAGCCAGGATTAATGGTGGCTTATAAACAAATTAGCCACAGTCAAAGGCATGGACCATACCAATACAGAAGTCCCACGATTATAGTTATAGGGTGGCAGAAGTAATTCTAAGCACTTCAGAATTTAAAGATATTTTATGGTGCATATGTTTGCTGCTCTCAAGTTTTGATAGCTGAGTAGTTTGAAATTAACAGTGTGCAAAATAGCACATAGGAAAAAAAATGGGCAGTAATAAATAAGAGCTGGTGTTATCTAGCTTGCTCTTCATTTGGAAGTTGTGTGTGCCTATGTATGAACTTTTACATATGTAGAAAGTCTTTACAGCTACTCATGCGAGTTTCTTTCATTTTGGATGTGTCCACTATGTCCATTTAGCTTATGTTTATTGCACCTATCTTAACTGCTCCATGTGGAATTCTCGAGTCCTGCCCAGTTGCAGACCAAGGTGGTAGACTACATAGACTACAAGGTCACCACATGCAGGGTTCAGAGAACTCATAAAGATGATAGCTTATTCAAGATATTTGACATTTTGCCAGGTTTAAAAAAAGCAAAACAAAACAAAACAAAAGAGTGAGAACTAACTGAAAACATCTGTACACAGTTATGAAAATACCAAATAATAATTAGTGGTTTTACCAGCCATTGGCTTTTCAACATAATTCTCTGGAATGTTGCTTTTTTTCACCTCTAAAATTGCTATAATATAAATGTGTTATAATTACTATAATATGGTTCTATTTGACAAATGTATGTTCATTGTGTTTTTTAAAAATATATGCAGGATTTACAGGTTTAGAAACTCATTTTTAAAAATTATTCCACATATTTTCAGAAATATTATTGTCACGGGATTTGCATTATTCTTTATGACACATCTCTAATTTCCAGTTAATTTTAAATTTGTAGAAACATGTCTCCATTATTTAAATCCTTTAGCCCCAAATGCATTTAGAAATTATAACCATTTTCATATATTTATTCCCCTGAAACCTATGGCAGCTCTATTTTTTTTATTTATCGCATATGATTAACACTGCAGCCTCACATAATCAAGACCACACACAAAAGTTCACAAAAGTTACTTCTCCCTTCATATATAGTTTAGAATAGATAAAGAAAATAGCAAGCATCATGAAAATAAGTCTTAATGTAGAGTTCTGAGTAAGTTTTAATTGAAAAAGTATATGTTTTATGTATATTATACATGCACACACACAAGTTTCAGAACTACAGTTGCTTTCATCAAAACTACCACTTGTTATTTAAATAAACGATGTGAAGCAGAGACCACCTACCATATAAATATCATTTGTTCAGTCAGATATAGTTGATGTATTTGGAGTGTATGATATATTGATCCTTGAATTAAAAGACTATAAGCTTCATGACTAAAAAAGTAATGTTCAATTTTAAATATTATCAAACAGATAATTTTTCCTGAAATATAATGAGTTAGTACTACTCTTTCAATTGAAGAAGTCCAATATGCCAAATTCATAATAAGCTATAATTTTGAGACACAGAAAATGAATGTATATGCTTATCATACTATACAGGAATATAAACTAAGGCTTTCATTAAAAGCTGTAACTTTTATTTTTTCATATTTGAAAAGAATCAGAGAGATGAAATTTTATGTTTACTGTGGGATAGAGGGAATAGAGGGACAGAAATAGTTTAAATGACTTCAGTAGAGTAAAGGTTATTCTTTCCTGCAGCAGAAATGAGATTGATTTACTGTGTCCTTTTATTACTTTACAAAGATTTAAAATAGACCACTCTTCTAGCAGCAGGTTCTAAATGCATTTGGTTTAAAGTACTCAATGATGAATGAAAAGGAAAATCAAGGGGTACATGAAATAAAGGTAATCAATCATTTTATATTAGCTCGGAGAAATTCAAAATTAGAAAGGCAGTGGTTTTAGTCTGAGAGAGTTCTTTTAAACATTCCCCATAGCCTTTAATATACATGACCCCTTAAGAATAAATATTGTCACCAGGTACATTCTTTAGTTCATTGGTGGCTGCTTTATAAAGATTTATCCTTTTAGGTTATGAAAAGTATTGATGTCCATTGTTGAGTGCTATTTTTTCTTAGAAAAGAACCCTAATAGAGTCTACATAAATTAGAGTTAGCAATAAATTTAAAATTGTTGAAAAATTTTGACTCTTATAAATAATCTTTCCACAAAGTGACATTAAAACAGAGCTCAATATAGTCATTTCTAACTCACAAGGGTAATGGCATTTTTAAATTAACCTGGAGAATATTAAAACTAACCCTGTATTCCACTTGTAAATGCAATACATTCATATTGGCAAATCTGAATACTAAAAATATATGCTTTTATACCCATTAACTTGATACACATGCAGTTGTTATTTATAATTATACGTTTCTGTGCTTTTTATCATGGTTATCACTGATTAATAGTGGTTGCTAAGTGCCTTGAAATATTTTCGACACAGGTATTTTACCTATCTATAAAGAAGATATCTCATTTGAATCTGAAAAATAAAACTACATAATCGTGGAGAACATTTTAAAAATATTCGTGTAACCAGTTGATAATTCAAAACAATCCTAATTAGTCATAATAATCAGCTCATGCTAAGTGATCAGGACTTTGTTTTCCTTTTATCTCTTAACTCAATCTTGAGTGTTGTTCAGGTCTGGAACTAGACTGTCTTTGGAATGATTGGCTTAGTTCATGCATTCACAGTTGGCATGGGGAAAATTTTTCAATCACAACTTCAATTGAAGCTTCATTCTTTCTTTAACTTTTCTATTGGACAATGGTGGTGGCTTGAAGAACTTGTGGGTCCTGCTTTGGCAAACTGAACTCTTTAGTTTCTGCTGAGAATTTTCTTATTATGATTTGAAGCTATTTAAGAATTGTCAAGGACCGCCTCTCTTACTTCACAGAAATTTAGTAAAATACAGGGCTTCCTGTCTTTATGCTTCATGAATACACTAAGCACATTCAATATGATAGGCAGTGAAGAACTACATTTCCTAAGATTTTGTCTCTTGAGAACATGAGAACCACATAGCAGAGTGTTGGATGTTGCTTAAAAAATAGAGAAATTATTTTGTAATCAAGGCTAACAATTGTTGCATAAATGGTTAATAAGAGACAACTTTCTTGAATTAGCTCCAATTCATTATTTGGTCTCTCATAATGAATTTGCAAATTACTGGCCTTTTTTCTTTGCTACCATAAAAGTCTGGTAATATGAGAAGGTTTAATAAATTCCATTATCACTGTTATATTTGAGTCTAAGGTCATAATAAAAGTATAAATCCTTACTATCATATATTAATACAACAAATTAAAAAAAAACCCTTATTGCAAATAAAAACTTGTAGTTAAGCTTCTTGTTTGGAAATAAGAGCTCACTGTTCAAACCAGCTATTGAAGTGCATATTAACATTTGGTACAGAATTGAGATTTTAGGTGAACAAATGGGAAGTCATTTTGCCTTTCCTAAGTGAGACAACAAAGTAAGCAATGTAAGATAGAAGGCTTATTTTCATAACCTCAAAATTAAAATCTCTTGACTACAAATGCTGTTTACTATTAAAACTAGTGAATGAATGACCTGATCAGCTCAGGTCCTTGTATTACTTATCACATTTGCATGGATTTTATTGGTGCTTGAGCTTTAGCATGTTACATCTCTTGCATGACTATATATAATGCTACTATCTCAATTTCAATTACTGGGCTACTTTATATCAAAATATTTTCCACACATTTCTTGATAAAATTTAAAAACTAGAATTTGAAAGTACTTTTCATTACACACAAAATTTCTGTTATACCAAATGGCCTTTTTAAGAAATTATGTGCATAGGAATAACTTTTAACTAAGATATTAAGTGAAATCCCTTTATAATATTTGTCCTGGCAAATGGCAAAACCAACGCCAGGTACATTAAAAACACTGGAAAGGTAGTCTTTTATTAGAGACAAGCAATTGAAAGGGCACAAGTGGACTATCAACAAACTTTTCAATACAGTCAGGAAGCAGGCTATCAACACTTGGGCTGTTCTTATTGTGTCTGTTATCATAATTGACAGCTTGACGTAAAACCATGATCACATGACTTCTGGGTAGTTATGTAAATGGATAAGAGGTCACTTTTCACATAAGCTAGCTGGAAAGGAAACACATTTAAAGGAAGTTTCAGTCAAAATAATGGCTATGCAAATGTTTAGCTAGTTCTTAAAAAAAAACAAAAAACCTAGCCTGTCTTTTATCATCCATTCAATTATTCGCTTACTTTAACTGGTTATCAAAAGCTAATATCCAGATAAACTGTTTGAATTAATGTAAAAATAAAATGATGTTTACTGTAACATTAAATTTCAGTCAACAAAATCACATGGTAAAAATATCTTCTTTTCTGAAAATAGGAACTTTAAAAGATCTAAGTTGAACTAGGGAAGCAGAGGAAATTCTGAAGGTTATATTTATGGACACTTTAGACTTAATATGCTCGGACTGCACAAGAAGGGTAGGGTAGGAAAAAAACAATTGACAGACTGGTGTCATGGGTAATAACCAGCCGTCAGGAGTCAGGAGGTTTGGTTTTAGTGTTGATGCAATTAGGGGTGTCTGACCTTGGACAACTCTGTAGTCTTCCTGTCCTGTATCTTTACCTTAGAAAAGTGAAGAGGTTGAACTATAGGACCTCCAAGTTCCCTTGAAACTTTAAATTTTGTAGTTTAAGTAGCCACTGTTAAAAAAAAATAAAAAAGAACTCTCATTTTCTAATGCTTATGATTTATGGTCAGTCATGTTTACTTAGTTCCCAGACAGTACATACCCATTTAACTTAATTCTGCTGTCTAATTCAATTAAATACCATGAAGCATGGGTTTCAGAAATTGATATTAGAAGTAACTTTAAGGTACCAGGGTGATCTTGACTATCTTTAATATATTTATATGGTACATGTCCCACATAAAACACAGTTTTTGTGAACATTTTGCTTGTCCAGCAAATCTATATCCTGTTCATTCAGAAGCTATATTATTTGCTTCTTGACAGGCAATTAATAATAGTAATAAAATAAAATTCTACTAATCTAAGAGTTAAGAGGAAAGTATAAATATTGGAGTGTTAATCTTTTTAAGCACCCCCCAACCCCAAATAGCACCTTTGCTCCAAAAAATCTGCTTCCTTGAGGCCATCTGGAGAAATGAAGAAACCTAAAAGAACATAAAACATACCTTTTAAGATATCCCTGGAGAGTCACTGCAAACTTAAAAAAAAATGTGAAAAGGTGAAATTTGCCTGTGTTGATTATTCTGTTTACAGTTTAATTGTTTTTTGGTTCAACTGAATGCTATTGTCATCATGAGGACCCTTAGTGCTTTGGGCTGTCTGCTGAGTCCAACAATGTAGAACATTTTGCTTACCTTCTTTTCTTTTGTTCCAAAAGCAAATCGCTAAGCAGTCAACAAACCCCCCCTGTTAATAACAATGGAGGGCCCTCATTGGAATAAACAAACTCTGATTCTGGAATCACAGACAATATTGATTCTGTGTGGCTATCTGCATGAATATTTGAGTGCAGTGTAGGGAAAGATAAAGATCCCAATCTTAGGTGTTTCCCCTTAGGAGAAGTTTTGAAGGCAACTATTGATAGATGATCTCCAACCTTGCTTTGCTGAAGCTATCTCATTCGAGTTGAGCTAGAGTGAAGCTCTCATTCCAAAGACTTTATGGAATTCCATTCTGAGAACCTTCATTAAAACTTTACCTTCACTTATTTCATAGTAATTTGGACTATTTCAACCATATCCCTTTACTTATAGCTTTTATGCAAGAAAATCTTTCTTACTTCATCTTTTATTTGCTTTTGAGATTCTGGGCATAATGAGTCTACTATAAAATTTCCTTCATTTTCCAGACAATCTCATTTCATATTGGTAGGTACATGCAAAGAGTTAAAATTATTTATGAGTGTACATTTCTGTAAGGATATGCATGTGATCAGGTTTGTGAAAAGTCTTTACTGTTACAAAAATAAGAATTTCTACCCACTTCAACATACAAATCCACAATTTTAACAGACTGTAGTTCTGAACTAACCTGTACCTAGTATTTTGTTTGGTTACTATGGAGAAAATAGTAATTTCCTCTCTTTTCAAGGAAAATATTTGGAAAACTCATGTGTTATTAAAGATTTGTAAAAAAAAAAAGTATGTGCATGAAATAGATATACTTATGAACACTTAATATTTTAATATTTAATTTTAAAAAAAGAATTGACAGTTGAATTATATTACACTGACTCTCTCACAGGACAGAAATGTAGGAACCTACCCTACTTCAAATAAGATTATCATCTATTATTTTGTACTAATATAAAGCTTAATGTAAAATTTACTTTTGTTAGGAATAATGAGATATACTAATGCCAACGAGATTTAACATGCCCCCTAAAGAAGCTTAAGTATACCTAGTATTAACTTTTTATCACCTGGTATTTCTTCAAAATTTGTTGAGTCAGGACTATGTTGGTCAGTTGATTTACTGGATATTGGGAATTTATTAGGGAAAAAAATGGGAATTTGTTTTTATTGGAAATAAATAAAATGGTTTTATAGGGAATTTGTGGGGTGAAAGTTTTCACTGACTAGATGATTTCTATTTTAATTATTTCATTGTTCCAACTATCCACAGTATCACCTTTAAAATTCACTTTAAAAGGAAATTTATTAATTTAAAAATGCTTTATGCAGAGGAAAGTTAATTAATAAATAATAATAAAAAACTGAAGAGGGATTCTTAGACAATTTATAACATATAAGCACATATAAATATGTCTCCTCTGAAACTTTTGAAAATATTTGTAATGCTTGTCCACAATCTAAAAAAATAGATATATTTTATTTTAATATTTGTTTTTAAATTTTCAGTAAGTGAAATAAAAATAGTACAATACTAATTAATACATTCCCAGTCTTTGGTATTTAAGGTATTATTAAATTAAGTCAATAAACATTTTGTGTAGATTTAAGCATTTTGTTTTATTTGGGGAAAATATACCTATAGCATGTTCCTTAATTATGTATGAAAATGAATAAATAGCTGCAGTTAGTTTTAACTCTTTTGAAACTACTCTTAGGAAGGAAATATTCAAAAATAAGTAGATTTTAAGCATTTAACATGTGGTCAAAGAACCCTTTTGACATTTTGGGGGACTGGTAAACAAATAACAAAAAAATAACATCATCAACAACAAAAAGAACCCATTTATATATATGTTCGTCTAAGGAGATGCCGTATTCTTGTACTGTCACTAGGACAAACAGCCTACCAGTGAGTGATATTTAAGTTCACCTGCCATTGTGAAAGTATTTTTTTCTTACTGAAATCTTCTCCAGTCTAACCTCAGAGCCTCACAGAAACCAACCAGACCTTAATAATTAGCAGAATGAACATGAGTTTTGATGAAGTAGATCCTTCCCTTCTTAATAAAATTTAATTGATTCAAAACTAGGATTTTTGTTGACTAGGATAGAATCAAAAAATGATTCCTAAGGTAATCTTTATACAAAGTCAAGTTTCTTGAATTATTTTTAGATTGTTTTCATAGTACTGCTTTTAGGAGTGCATTTTGAAATAGACAACTACTTACTGTTAACAACAAAATTTTTGCCCCAGTCACATTTGCATTTCCAATTAGATTATCCATTTTGAGAACTTTTTAAAAAATCTTGCCATAAAGTTTATCTGTTGACTTAAAACTAATGAAGTATATCTTCTCTTCTTTATGCAAGTATTATGGTAATTTAAGAAAAATTTTGTTCTGATTTAACTTAATTATGGATTTATGGCTTCTTTATGACATATATGCTGAGCAGAATCTACATATCTATCAGCCTGGCTGAGTTCTCCCTCCCTCCCTCTCTCCCTTCCTCTCTCCTTCCTACTTTTTTTCCAGTTCTTTAAATTATAGGATTACTTTTATTTGCAATGTCAATATAATTATACTAAGTGTTGTGGAAATTTTAGGTGTCTTTTTAGAGGTTCATATATCTATATGAAAATGAGGAAAAACTTTTTCTAAGACTTCAGAATCACTATTACTTAGAGTGAGTGTGTAGAAACTCAAGGGTCTAAAAGGAAAAGTAAACATTCTCAATAGCTATTTTAAGACAAAATTATCAAAAATGATTAAAATAATTTAGCGTAAGTTTAAAGGCATTTTGGCACCAATCATCATCTTCTGGAAATTCTCATTGAAATTCAGCGAAGAAGGTTCAGTTCTCTGCTGTAAGTCATCATTTCGATGTGAGATTCAGTTAATTTAAAGCATGGCTATCTAAAGATTAAAAATCATGATTTTTTAGTGTTTCCCCCCAAAGCCAGATTAAGTTTACTTTCTTAAGCATAAAAATAAGCAATATATCTTTTCAATAAATCTGCTAGCACTGTAGGGCAGCTGTTAACCAAACAGTGCTGGATAGGGTTACTTGAACAGTCTGTGAAGGGCAGAGCTGATGATTCGGAGATCTGGGAAGAATTTGTTTCAGCTTGTGTTCCGTGCATTCCTCACTCTGTTCATATGTGGTAAAGTATTTTAATGCCATTACTGAGTTTAAAATAAAAGTAGAAATTCATATCAACTCTTTCTAAACAGTGCCACTTTGAATCAAACAAAATTAGTAAACATCTAAAACTGAATACCTTGATGCTTCTAAACATAAATAAGTTAGGGAGAATGTTTATAAGGTGGGGCCTTTCTCCTCTAAACTGCATGTCTTCTCTGTTTTGCAAACTGCATGCTTAAAGTTATTGATTATTTTATTCAGTGCAGATGATCTGGTATGTTGCATTAAAAAAAAGCCTTTTTATTTTCTTTCTAAAATATATCTATTGAACATTAACGTTTGCTTTTATTTCAGCTCAATTTGTACTCTAATAATGGCTAATTGTTATGTTCTAAGCATTTGTTTCTCTCATATGCTTTAATTCATAGAGAAGCATATTGCAATAGCTTTTTCTAAAAAGAATCTAGGAATTTTGCTTATCAGAGTAAGGTTTTCTCTTTTGCTTTTTTTTTTTTTCTTTTCTTTAATTTGCCTCTTGGGAAAGTAAGGTTAATGCCATGTACAGTACTAGTTTGCATGTGTTCATTTAAATACTAAAATCTGTAGTACTGCTCGATCCATATCTGACTGCTAGGTTTCAATTGACAGCTGAGGATTTGTGACTGGACCATGAATCAAAACGGCAGGCATTTATACCCCAGTACCAGTGAGGATACATTGGGAATTACTTGGCAAAGGTAACATTTTAATTATTTCCAACCCTACACTTACACCTAAAAATTACATGAGCTATAGTGTTTGTTTTAAACTAGCTTTACAGAAAATATATGTTAAAAATATAGTTGTTTTGGCTATACCATCCCTCTTTCTCTACCCTCTTCCTTTTATTTCTTATGTAAATGAACTTCAAATTAATTATCGACTATAGCATATGCTAATTGTCATTGGAATTTGTAAGTGCTGTCAAATGTTTTAAGCAATTTATAATATTTGCAGGGTGGGGGTGGGGAGGGTTGGGGATTTGACAGATTTTAGGACCTAAGGAAATGAAATCACAGTTTTAGGGAAGATATTTTAGCTATCTGAGAATGAAGTATTGGGTTTTTACTTTATAACTTCTCATTTCAGTTCTTTCCTCTACTGTTAACTTTAAGTCATTACTGTTCATTTATTCCTGTCAGATGTGGGAAGCTGGAAGAATTTGAAATTTTTCTTCTGACTTTCTCCATTTAACTGTTATTAGCACTCAAATTTTAGAGTCAAAAGATGGTTGAAACCAATAGCTAGAGAAATAATTTAAATGAAGTTTTAATTTCTGATTATACATTGATATTAATCATTGATGACTGAAGTTTCTTTGGTTGGCTAAGAACATTATTCTAAAACTTCATATTCAAAACTAGTTCTGATTACTGTCTCTTGTTGGTTTTAGAAAGAAGTGCTAAGTCAGCTTCTTATGTATTATTTTAATAAATAACAGGTTGTGTCAAATTGACAAATAATTAAAAGTCATGGTTTGGGCTTATATAATAACAGAAAATTCACAGAAAGAAAGAGTTAATCCATAAAGACTTCACCAAAATTAAAGCCAACAATATCCTAACCCTGCTTGATTGTAAACCTCTCTTTTCTCAAAGTACCTAAGAGAAAAGTGCATACTCAGATAGACCTTGTAAGTGGGCACCCCCATCTCCATGTTGCTTGATAGAGACTGCTAAAGAGTAGAGAGATTAATAATATCCATGTTTACTTGGGTAAAAACTAATAAAAGCAGTTGGTATTTGAACTGTCAAATTGACTTTTTTCCCCAATGGTGCCTTTTTATTAATACACTACTTAAAATGAATACAATATGATTTTTCTTCTTTTTAATGATGGATACAACATCTACTTTAAAATTTATTCTTTTCTACATATTTTGATGTTTTTTTCCCGAGAAGCATACATTGCTCCTCCATTTGGGGTTGAAAAAAAAATATATATATGTATATATACACACACATATATACATCTATATATGTGTGTGTATATATATAAAAGAAGTAAACCCAATGAAAGCAGCTTACTTAAATAGTCTTAATTACTAAGTATTAATTAAACTTAATGAAATATCTTATTTAAATAATTTAATTAATATATATTTTAATTAATTTAATTGGATTCATTTACCATGTTGGGATTTAATTCTTATTAGATAACTTACTTATATTCCATGCTCTGTCAGTTAGCAAATTGGTTCATGTTTACATACAAATCTTATTGCATTCACAAGAATTACAAATAAATGACTTGTACTCATGTATTTAAATTTGGCTAAAACTGTGAGAATTCCAAATGGCTGGATTACTGATATACATTTACTTCTCTAAACTAGGCTAGCACCTGTAAAGTACATGAACACCAAATAAGGATATAAATTGTTGGAGATTTAAAATACAAATGCACTTAGTTCCTATAAAATTTTTAATCAAAAATTGATATTCCAAAAAAGGGAAAAGGTGAGTGAATAATAAATCACAATAGAATGCTTGACTGTAGTAAATTAATCATGATGAGAAAATTCAGTTTTTAGGAGAGAGCGCTGCTTATGTTACAAATCCCCTTCCTAGTGAAAAATTGGTGTGATAATGAGTTTCATATCATAACAAGTCAGAAAACATTCATATTCATTTTAAGGTTTCTTTTCCTTCTAAAAAATAGTGAAAAATTTTTGATAAGTAGGTGATGATATGTAGAATGGCCTTAATGCTCCCAACAGCTTTTACAAGGTAGCTTTGGGTTTGTTTCCTTCTTTTTTATGAAGATTCAGAAGGTACAGTTGATAATGGTGGTGTCATGTGCATACATTCCACAGGTACTTATTGAATCTCTTATATGATGCTCACAGTTCTTTAAGTATCATATAGTTCAGAATAAATATAATTAAGTAAGCAATTAGACTTGTTACATTTTCCAAAAGTCCACATAGAATCCATCCTTAATAATGCAAATAGGCATGTCTGTGGCACAACATATTCATAATTTATTCATGGTTTACAGTTTGTGCCCTGTGGTTACTTTTGAAACTTAATTATTTGCTTGTTCTTTCTAGAAAGGATATCAGAAAACGAAATCATAAATGTCTGTAATACTGCTACTTTTAAAGCAGATACTAGCCACTTCAAATCTTCAGCGCACTACTACAACTTCAAAATGATCTGAATAAATTGCTAATGTATGAGAAATGTAGAACTATTCAGCCAGTAAATTAAATAATTTGCCTTTATTTAACAGAATACAGAAGATATCAGGTTATTTTTGGTATGGTGGTTGTTTTTTGTCTTTAACAAAAAGCAATCCCTAGAGACCTTGTAGAAACACACAAAGCAGAGGATATTTTGGTTTCAATTTGTTCCATTTTGTTTGGATTATTAATTGTGGCCATTACTTTCCTCCTACAGTCACTTATCCCTGGCTGCCCCCTTTTCTGCTTTATACCAGCCCTTCTGTAGAGGTGTTTCCATGTCAATTGTAGCTCCTTTTTAGGGACTGAAAATGGCAGTGCCATGGAAGCTGTGCAAGTGTAATCAAAACTAGATTTCCTCTCCCCACCCCCAATATGTAAACATTCCCTTAGGAACCAAAGCTTACTCTTTTGGAAAGTTTTCACAGACTCATTAGGTTGGGACCCTGAAGGTGTTTTGTTGTTTTGACCTTAGAAATTTGTTAGCCATTTGTGTGGGGGGTGGGGTGGGAGGGTGGCAGGAGCATGGGGACAGGGAGGAGTTGAGTTACTTGCACCTTGAAATTTTACCTCTAACCCAAAGGCCAGGTACTGCAGTTAACTCAGAGTGAACTCTATTGCTGAAGGGCTCACTTGGGTTTGAGGCAGGAGGGGCTCAGCTCTGAGGAGGGTAATAGGTGTGCGTTGCTCATGCTGTTCCTTTGCTGCCTATACCCAGGACTGTTGTGTCTGTGCTGCTCCTCCTCTGTGGACAAATGACATTGTTGCTCATGTGAGTCATGTGGGTATAAACAAATACCGCAGTTCACTCCCTAACTGGATTTCTTTCTTGAAGCACTAGCCAGAACATAACTTGTACTATCAAATATGAAAGAGCAATATAATTGAATGAAAAAGAAAGCCGAAGGACAATCCAAGAATAATATAAACATGTTATTTTAAAACATTGGAGGGGTTGCTTTATGCAAAAGAGAAACTGGATTTATTGTTTCATTCCTTCCTCTCCCCCTTCACCCCTTTCAAGAAAAGGCAAAGCCACAAGTGAGTGGCTGTATGTGTCTGATGGCTTATATAAACATAGAAGAAGCCTTCAGATGGCTAAAATAAACACGCGCGTGTTACCGAAGGATATGTTTACACAAACCATTTGCTCAGCCTCTGAAATAATGAATAAATGAAGATTTTAGTGAAATAATTGGAAGGATTTTTGTGTTTCTGCTGATGCCATAATTGAGTGGCACCAAAGAGACTTTTATCAGCTATTTTCCATGTACATGTGTTAGCAGTTCCTTTCTATGAGTTGAATACTTCATTCTGTAGTTCCTTTACACATGTTTTTGTAAGAAATTGTCGTTTATTACTGCAGTTCTAGAGAGTTGCTTGATTTCCCAGGAGAAATTTAGCAGCCAGTAAAGATTATTTGGATCTGGTGGGTCAGGAGAGGAAGGGCAAAGAAGGAGTAATAGCATTCATTTCATACATCTAACCCTAACACTGTCCTCTGTCATTCACGATATTTGTTGCTTTGCCTGTAAAATTTTTTTTTTGTAAGATATGCCTACCCAATCTATTAAAGAACGAATCCTTTAAAATAATCTTTACTCTATGGGGTGCAAATCATGTTTGCTTGTAAATATATGCGTATGTGTGTCATATGTGTGTCTTCAGAAACACATACACGTGTATACTTATGGCACATGCATGATAAATATGGGAAATTATGTGTCTTATTGTTAGGTAGTGTTAAGAGTTAACTTTCAACATTACACTTAGACCATCCCTATGAATCCACTAGGTTAGCATTTCCTGCTCTCAGTTTGTTATCTTGACACATAACTACAGTACAACAGCTGGGTTGTTCCTGGAGTTCCTGGGGGGAGCTTTATTCTCAGAGTGCTGAATTTCCTTTTCAGTTGTCAGCTCTAAAGTGTGTTCAAAATGCTCAACTTTTTACACAACATTCTGGGCCACTAGCACCACTCTGGGACTATGATAGAAATGCTGATAATGTAGATGAATTGAAAAATCTTAAATTCTAGAAGGATAATTGCAAATGCCAAAATTACATATGACCATTGTTTGGTAACAGGTCTGCTTACTCGTGTTGCTCCTTGTATGTGAACATTTTATTCAGAAGAATTACTCCTGCCTCACCAAAATTATTTGCACCTGTTAGGAAATCAAAACTAAACATGTTACCATTCTTTAATATGACCTCAATATGGTTTTCACACACACAGTATCTGTAATCTGGCTGTTGAAAAATACATTGGGATTTGTTGTAGTTTTGCCTAACTTTCTCCATTTATAAAGAAAGATTTGCACAACACAGCGTTTCCTTTTTATCTAGGAAACTCTTCAGAACACTTCCTAAGAAATTAATTGTATTCCAGCCAGACTTGCATGCTGCCATCCCACAGGAAATGGGTCAGCAATCCATTAAGATGCCATTAGATAATCTAATTTGGAACTTAATCTCTAAATTAACCATGCTCCATACTTGAAGCATACTTG